CACACCGCGGAGCCCAGCTGGTGTCTGGAGCTGACGGTGCACCCGTGGGAGAGAGGAGCCCCTTGGGGGTCCAGGAGGGGGCCTGCCCCAGGCCAGCCACTGCCCTAGTGGACCAGGCTGTCAGGTGGCAGAGGCCGTCCTCGCCGCCCCCGTCCCTCCCGGCGGCCGCCGAAGCTGAGCCTTCCCAGGGCTTCGGGGTGTCCAGCTTGGCCAAGAATGGCGGGGAGCCCGGAAGGCCAGGGCTGCCCGTCACCTTCATCGATGAGGTGGACTCGGAGGATGAGGTCCCCCAAGAAGCCAAACTGCCCTGCTCGGGGGCCAGGGTGCCTCCCCGGTACCACCCATCGGAGCTCCTGCACCAAGGTGGCAACACCTTCACGGTGGTGCCCAAGAGGAAGCCAGGGGTCCTGCCGGCCAACGGGGAGCCTGGGCCACTGGAGGCGGAGGAAGTGGAGGCGGACCGCCTGTCGGAGCCCCCTGCTGTGCTGGGGGCCGGCCTGAAGAAGCGCTACCCCACCGTGCACGAGATCGAGGTGATTGGCGGCTACCTGGCCCTGCAGAAGTCCTGCCTCACCAAGGCTGGCTCCTCGAGAAAGAAGGTGCGTGTGGGGGGGGGGGGGGGGTGGTGGGGTCACCAGCCAGGACACCTGGCCTGGGAGGGGGACTGCTTCGATGGAGGCCAGAGGAGAGCTGGGGCTGGGGGATCCCTGGCCTGGGGCCCAGTAGAGCCCTAGTAAACCAGGGGCTGTGGGCACAGCTTGCTACTCTGCCCAGAAAGGCTGGTGTGCAGGGTCGGTCCAGCCCGCGCCTGTGTTGGTTCTGAGGCTTTGCCTGGAATTGGCGGGCAGGGCTGTCTCCTGAGGTCCAGCTTGGAGAGTAGTGTGAGCCTGTGGCTCCACCTGGCCACCAGGTCACAGCGGGGTGGCCCCGGCATGACCTGGACTCCCCGCCGACTCAGGCAGCAAATGCCAGGACGGCAGCGGGAAGGGGCAGGGGACTGTGATTTGCGAGGGGCTCTCGGCCCCCCAGAAGGCACCCAGCCCGTGCTCAGTGGGACCTGGTCTTGGGAGAGTGTTTCCGGAGCTCCTGGTGTGCAGGCTTAGTCTGAAGCTGGGGGGTGATGCTGGGAGAGGTGAGGACACCCCACCTTGTTGGGGGCAAGGGCTGAGGGCAGAGACCCAGTACAGGGCGGGAGCCTCATTCCCTAAGCCTTGCCCTGCCTAGTGGCCTGGAACCCTCTGGGCACAGGACTACGTTCCTCAGATTCTTCTGGTCACTCGATCACCTGCGTCGGCCCGGAGGCAAATTCCAGGCCAGCTCCCGTGACCCTCTGGCAGGCAGCGGGCAGATGCCCTTCCTGTGGAACCCGGGCAGTGATGGCCTCTCCCTCAGCTGCTGGGCTGTAGGGCCCTGTGGCCCCTCTGCTCCAGCCAGTTTCCCTGGACAGGCCCCCTCCTCTGTCTGCTGCCTCGGCATGGCCTTGGCACCGCCTCTCCTCCTGGTGCCATCCTCCCCTCCTTCCCTGTGAGGGCATCTGCGCTCCTGTCAGCTCCCAGGGCTGGGTCAGGCCATGATCCCCCCCCCCCCTTCCCTGTCCCCTCCCTGCTGTTCTCCTTCCAGTAGCCGGGGATCCACCCAGTAGCCATGGCCACCAGCCCCACCCCATACGGCAGGCCCTCGCTGCCCCTCCCGCCTTTGCTTTCTGACCCTTGACCTCCACTAGAACTGGAAGTGAAAGCACTCCCTGCTCTGTAGATGACAGTGAGGTCATGGGCTCATGGGTGGTCCCGTCCCCAGAGCTGTGTGGAGCCTGGCTCCTGCCTGGGGCTGGAAGGCTGCACCCCAGCTGGGCACTGAGCTGTGGGGGTCACTCGTGGGTGAAGAAGGGAAGGCCGGGGCCTAGGGCCAGCAGGGCAGGAAGCAGTGATCAGAGGAAGCAGACCTGGGCCCCGTGCCATCCTGAGGGGTCCTGGTCCAGATGGATGACGCCTGGCATGACCGAGTGGCCTGGCTGGGGCCCTGCCAGAGCAGCGCAACCTGCTGGCAGCGACTTCCTGCCTGGGCTGCCCCAGCTGCCCTGCCCAGGAAGGGCCA